GGTGAAGAATCCACCTGCCGATGCAGGGGACAGGGGTTCGAGCCCCGGTCCGGGAAGATCCCACATGCCGCGGAGCGGCTAAACCCGTGCACCACAACTACTGAGCCCACACGCCTAGAGCCCGAGCTCCGCAACAAGAGAAGCCACCGCAATGAGAAGCCTGCGCACCGCAACGAAGAGTAGCCCCCGCTCGCCACAACTAGAGAAAAGCCCGTGCGCAGCAACGAAGACCCGACGCAGCCAAAACTAAATAAAAGAAAATAAATAAAAAATAAAAGACACCTCCTGGGAGAGGCCTTCTTTGACCTTCTCCTCCAAAGTAGCTCCTCAAGTACTTTTTAAAAAATCCCATCTCCCTGTGCCATTTTTCTTCCCAGAATTTACTGCTATCTGTCATTCTCTTGTTTATTATTTCTCCCCCCAAATGAGTGCAGCCTCTGTGAGAGCAGGGACCCTGTCAGTCTTTTCCCAGCTGTACACACAAAGCATCGACTGCACTGACAGACACGAGCCCACGGCACAGACATTGCCCAAAGTGCCAGGCTGGAAGGATAAGAGCCAATCCTGGGGACAGTCTAGGCCCAAAGAGTTCAGGGAACCAGGAGACAGGAGGTAAGGCAGAGCAGGTGTACAGACCTGGAGGACAAGGGGGAACCAGGCAGCAGGGAAACAGAATATTGGTGGGGGGCTGGCAGAGAAGCTGAGGGCTCATAGCTGCTTCAGCCTGAGCTGGTGACCAGTCCAGGGCAGAGCGTCCCAGCGCCCAGAGAATCAAGTAGGTGAGAAAAGTCAAGGTTAATAAGGTGCGGATGTACCCCTGGGTGGGGGAGGGGTGTCTCTCATCACCCTAGATTTCTATTCCTGCTAATTTGAGAACACAAGTGGACCACGCCTGGCCTGTTAGATAAGAGGTGATCACTGGGCATCAGAATTTGGGTCAGGCCATCGGAGACAGAGACCAATTCACCTCAGAAACAAGCACAGCATTGACTGGGCGAGTGACACCATTCGGGACGCAACTCCCGAGAAATCACAGACAGGCATGGCCCTGCCACGCGGGCCTGGGAGATGCAGCGGAGGCCGAGCTACAGATGGCTCTGGCCCCCATGCTCCTCCCCGCAGTGATAGAGAAGCACCCAGAAATGCCCTCCACACCCCAGGAATGAATGCTGCGACTGTTTCACACAGGCTGCCCCGGATATCTTCCAGGCACTACTTCTGAATGACCGTATCCCAAAAGAAAGTCAGAAGTCTCTCTTCAAATCACCAGAACGAGGATGGAGGGGGTGGGGGTGGGGGGGGGACACCATTTGAAAGTTCTTCTTCTGTTGTTTAAGGACCAGTCAAACGAACAACCTACTGCATGTCAGAGACTGACAAACATTTTTGGCAAAGGACCAGACAGTAAACGTCTTAGGCTTTGCACTCTCTGCAGCAACTACTCAGCTCTGGGATTGCAGCACAAAGGCAGCCACAGACAACACATAAACCACGGGGTGCTGGGTTCCAAACCCATATGAAAACAGGAGGATCCGGCCCAAGGCCATGGGAGTCCTGGGAAATTGTTGAGTCAAGGAGGGACACGATCACACGAGTGTTTTAGAAGGAACTATGGGGACTACTGAAAGATGGAGTCAGCACACTTTAGATGTTATGTGAAATAAATACTGGTACTGCCACGTCGCTCTGTTATTACAGTTGTTATAAACAAATGGCAGTGTTTGTGTTTTAAGGAAACTTTATTTACACAGACAGGCAGAGCTCCAAATATGACCCACAAGTCATGGTTTGCTGAACACTTCTGCCCTAGCATCTCAAGTCAGGAATTTTAATCTAAAATCAGCTACTACGATTCTTCAAACACCTGCCACAGCTACTTAGGACAAATTTGTAGCACATTAAGAGCCTCTGATTATACCAATATGGGTTGGGAGAAGGAAGAGTTTTTTTTTTTTTTTTTTGGTCTATTAACTGGATTCGTTCAAACCAGACACAGGTCCCAGCCACAGAGGGTTATAGCTCTTCACTGGTCCAGAGCAGGCATCCAGGCAGTGCTCTGTACATGAGCTGCATCTGTGGCAGAAAAAGAGACTGCACACCAATGGCTCACGCATCCTCATCCCCACTCCACCAGCCCAGCTAAGCCACTGTACATCCGGCAGTCTCCATACTTCCATCTGACACATGACATCACCCACGAGAGCTGCCTGGCAATTGACATGCCCACAACTGCTAGTGATGGATTCCAGGGGAAGCACACATCATCAGAATGGCTCTCCAGCTTTCCAGGACTGGCTCTGGACTCTACCATCTGGCTCAATCCCAGTTGCTGATACCAAGAGCTGAGAACCAGGGAGAACTAGCCTGGCAAATTTCAAACAATAAAATCCAGTTATCTGCTCCGTAAGAAGATGCTGTTAGATGGGGTTTGCTGTTTCCAGTCTTCGTGCAGTAGTTCTGCAAGGTGGGGAGGAGGGAAGTTTTGCCCCCCGAGCCCGGAGACATTTTTGATGCTACTGGCATCTAATGGGTAGAGACACCATCCTACAACGTACAGACAGTCCCCCACTCATAGAATTATCTGGCTCCAAACATCAATAGTGCTGAGATGAAAACCTATGTCTGGGTAAGACTTCATCACATGATGATCCCCAAACCTCAAGCACTAACGCACAGTCCAATTAAGTTCCCGAAACTCAGCTCCAAAGACCACTTTGATTGGCAGGTCGAGTTGATGAGATGAAAGAGAAAAATACGTTAGAGGTGCCGATGGGGCCGTTTGGTTGTTTCTTTGTTGTTTTTGAGGAGAATTATTATTTTGCTAAGGTTCGTCTGTAAATGGAGGAAGTTGAAATAAATTTCTGTAGTTTCTTTGAGCTCCAAAGTCCTTTGATTACAAGCATATACAGTGGTTCATATTCTAACAGACTACTCTGGGGTTTTTGATATCTTTCTAAAAAACATACTGTCTCGGTCAGGCTGAAAAGCTAACACCAGATCACTGCTCTTTAAGAGTGTGGAGGAAACCTACCCTATGAGATGCTTAGCAGTACACAAGAAATAAAACTGGTCGAAACAACTAGAAAAAATAAAGTCTATAAATTTACCATTCATGTGGCTTCTTACTTCCCACGGTAAAGGTTTGAGAGAGACCGAGATAAACAGAAGGAGGAAGTTACTACAGGACTAGACCTCTTTCCCTCCAAGTGTTAACGTGGAATGCACTGAACCAGAAACTGAAAAACAGCATCGGTTTTACTTGTGACATTTACTTGTAACCCACTGGTAACACCAACGATGATAGTTTGCTTTCTCTTTTTCTGACGGTTTACCTATAACATTTGGGAATTATTACAGAAGATAGAAGTCAATGAGTAATTTAAAACGTACCCTCTGAAAAACTACCTAGCTGTTTTTCAAAGTCAGCTCTCAAAGAAGTCTCATTTTTTGATCCATTAGATTGAAAAAGGTGACATTTGATTTAGACATATTAAAAACCAGTGCCTACAAATCTTGAAGGAATAGATTAAAAGCAGACTGTGTGATCAAATAGTAGGCACTGAAAAAGAATGTCCACATTGTATGTTAAAAGCAACCATTTCCTCCTTACCAACAAATATATATGTATATAATTTTTATATCTATATATTTATAAAATTAAATTAACTAATTATATATATAATTTTAAAATAACCGAGTTTCCTGGATCCTTTAGAAAAGAAAAAATGTATATGTAACATTGAGCATGATTTCCTATGTTTAAACTCAAGCTTCAACCTGTGGCTACACATTTTATTTGACCTCTCCATACTTCAAAGACCTTGAATGGGTCACAAAGTAGAACATCGAACTTTCCCACCTTGCCCAACCCCACTCCTCTATCTGATGTACAGTATACCTCAGATCTCAAACCGTGAGGCCACTGAAGTCTCCCTTCAATGACCAGAACTGTCACTGCACAGTAACCAAGGTCATCTTCTGTGGATTAAGTCCACTCCAATACTCGGTGACCACAGGAGGGCTGGGACTTGGATTCTCCAAAATACAGTCTGATCTAAATTTCATTTGCAACTTTCGTTTTGTATTTGTGTGTGTATGTTTTTGTAAATATTTTATTTACACAAACATATATATACATATGTTTATGTGTATATATATATAGTGTGTGTATACACATATTTCAGAAAGACATACACTGAAATGTTAATTGTGATTACTTTCTACAGTAGTAGATTCATACGTGATTTTCCTTTTTCTTCTTGATTTTTTTTTTTGCTTGTCTACAGCTTCCAACTTTTCTATATTAAGCCTAACTTTTGCTGAAAGAAAAATAAGTAATACTCCATATGTGTTATTTTTTTTCACTCAACGTCATTTCAAAACGTATTTCAAGCACCTGGCTAAAAAAGCAACGAGTACAGAAAGCTTTCTTTCAAAGCGAGGGCAACCAGAGACCAGAGCAAGACACAACAGCGGTAAACTCTAAGGAAGCCAAAGGTTAAAACTATCAGTCAGCACGTAAGCCCTGATGTCCCTGCATACTGGCCAGGGGGAGGCACACGTTCGGCTCCGAGTTTCTTGGCGTCCGTAGGACATTCTTCCCCACCCTCCTTACCTCACGCCCACCAGTCTTAATTAAGGTTTGTTTAGGGAACGATAATGAGAAGATTTTTCTACATTCCCTGATCATCCCCCCAGATGAGATCATGCAGTCCAGCAATGTGTCCAGGGACGAGGAGGCAGGTGCAAACACAACCAACAGAGCGCCAACTAGGAAGCCCCACGGCTCCCGGCGCTAAGTGTCAGCGTGCACAAGAGGTCAGAATCTCCCAAAGGGCGTAGCTTTAACTTTCTAAAAGTGTCCCTCTGTGGGCAGTTTATCGCCATGAAGGTAGCGGCGAGGGATATACTCAATCCATGACCAAGTCTGAGAGAGCCTCTGGGGTCCCTTGGAGGCAAAGCCACACTCGACGGAGGAGCCCCGGCAGTGTGGTGCTTACCGTAAGCTGTCATGACCCCCGCGTAGGGCCCATCCACCACATTTCTGTTTTCTTCTGCCAGCGCCTTGATGTACCTCTTGCTGAGGTCCAGGATCTGTTCCCGAAGCATGGAGCTGCTCTCGGGCTGAGTTCTCTGCTGGATGGTAAAATGCAAGAGCATCATACCCCAAATAAAGCCAAAAGTCACGAGGAAAAAGCCCAGCTTCTGAGAGGACAGCTTCCACGGAGTAAAGAGAGCCATTGCTCTCTGGCAACTTCACCTGCCCCGGGCTCTTACAGTGTGGAAAGGAGACACAAGTTCATGGTGTAGGCTGGGCTTGTGGGTTTCTCAGTCTCACTCGGGCTCCTGCGTCAGCTGATTTCCTTTCCTCGTTTCCATCCTGCTGTGAAGAAGGGGGAAAGTTAGCAGAGTCTTGTGGCAAAACACAGTGAAATAAACCAGAGCCTTGTTTTCACCCAAATAGCTCTAAAATGTGAACTTCCTTTTTTCTTAATCTGCCAGTTCCCTATCCTATGTTATGATTCGGGATCTGTAAATGGAGAGGGGAAATCTGGCTGGGTGGTGAAAAGCTGTACAAATACGGAGGAGGGAAATGTGTGTCTGCACGTGTTCACAGGTGTAGCAGGGCTGTTCCAGTCTGGACCAAGTTCAAAACAGGAAGCTTGTTCTGCAAGGTGGGGAGGAGATGGAAGGATATTTCACTGAATGTCAGCAAAAACCCAAGTGGAGGGTGGAGTCTCATCACCACCCAGCACTTCTGTGCCTCTGAAACTTGAACTTACAAAGTCATCATTATGTGCTCTAGCAAGGACAAGAGCCCGCAGCTGGAGAGGCGAGCCAGAAAGTGGACGCCCCTGGCGGGTAATCAGACGAGGAAAGGGGAGAGGGCCCCCCGTATTACTTAAGCACGGCCAGCTTTCAGTAGCAGTGTCCACAGCTGAGCTGAATGCCTCGGGGCCACCAGGTGGCCTCGCCCTAGGCACCAGCACAGAGAGGCTGGGCCAGGGGTACCCAGCCGTCTTTCCGTGCTAGCTGCCACGAGTGACAGCTGCACCACACTCCTCACTTGCACACTTGAGCACAGGAAATGCGGGGCACACGATGGCCTGCTTTTTTGTGGTTCTCATTTTCACTCACACCATGGGACAAAATGCGAGGTTAAAAGCCATCGTTTCAATACGAATGCAGCCAGATCCTACCTGGTACCAGCACAGGCCGGACAACAAATGGCACCGCGTTTTAAGCAAAGGCTGAGCATGACCTCCTACGAGGGACTAACCCAGGATGTATTCAGAGTGTGCCTATGTTTCAGATCAAAGGATTCTTCTTCCTAAGCAGCCTAAGAAGAAATGACAACGGGATCTTGGGACAGTTAGCTTTCAGCGTCTGCGATGCAGCGGATCTGTGTCGGTCTTCCTCTCTCACTCTTTTCCTCGCCTATCAACAGAGTCATCAGTACCTGGTAGTACCTCTACTGATAGTAAATGATAAATAAATCCTAGTTATGTCCCAGGCACTGTGATAGATGCTGTTTGTGCCTTAGTTCATTGAATTCTTGAAAGAGTCCTATACGGTAAGAACTATTAATGTTATCATGTCTGGTTTTTTTTTTTATGTCTGTTTTATAGATGAAAAAACAGGGACACAGGGAGATTAACTTGGCAAAGGTCAGCCAGCTATGTGGCAGAGGAGGGATAATCTAGGGATAAGCCAGCCCAGGAGTCAGTAAACCACACCCTGCCTTCCAAGGCCATCCTTCCTCCCCAGTGTCTTTATGACCAAGAATGGTCTGTACATGCTTAAAGGGCTGTGAAAAGCAACAAAGACTATGTGACTGAAATCTTATGTAGCTCAAAAGCCTAGAACATTCACTCTTGGCCCTTAACAGAAAAAGTTTACCAACTGCTGAATTCTAGGCCAGTGGTTCTCAAAGTGTGGTCCCTAACTCAGCAACAGCAGGAGCATCAGTGAGAGATGCCAGTCCTCAGGCCCCACCCCAGACCAACTGAATCAGCAATGCTGGCAGGGAGGGGTGTCCAGCATCCTGTGTTTCAATCAGCCATCCAGGCGATTTTTTGTTGTTGTTTTTTGGCTGCGTTGGGTCTTCGTTGCTGCGCGCGGGCTTTCTCTAGTTGCGGCGAGTGGGGGCTGCTCTTCGTTGCGGTGCGTGGGCTTCTCATTGCGGTGGCTTCTCTTGTTGCGGAGCACGGGCTCTAGGTGCAACGGGCTTCAGTAGTTGTGGCTCACGGGCTCAGTAGTTGTGGCTCGCGGGCTCTAGGGCACAGGCTCAGTAGTTGTGGTGCACGGGCTTAGTTGCTCCACAGCATGTGGGATCTTCCCGGACCGGGGCTCGAACCCGTGTCCCCTGCACTGGCAGGCGGATTCTTAACCACTGCACAACCAGGGAAGCCCGTCCAGGTGATTTTGATGACCACTCCAGCTTGAGAGGCCTGGATGCAGGCAGACGGATGCCGTCACGATGCCACACCACCGCACTGGCAATCAATGCGGAGGGAGCTCCCTCTGGGCCCCCCTTTATCACATAAGTTCCTCTGGTCCATCGCTCTCCACTGTGATGCTCCTCCCCAGTCTGAAGTTGTAAAACACTTGTCTGTCTACCTTGCTTTTTTTTTTTTTTTTTTTTTTTTACCAGTTTCTGTGTAGGATCCAAGACATCCTTTAAGAGACTCCCCCGCTTATGTTTTCAGAGACAGAGAGTGACCCAAGGGGCACAAATAGAATACCTGTTGACTGAATGAGCTTGTCACCCAGGCACTGTGGCACTCCATTCAGCCCCTCTAACGTGGGCCAGATGAAAGGCACCTGCCATCCACTCTTTCTACAAGGATACACTGAGCAAGGACCCACTTGTTGTCATCAGGCCCTGGGGACTGAACTGGGAACAAGACAGGGCTCCCACCCTCAAGTGGCTGACGCTTTAGAATCCACCCTTCTAACCGGTGCTTAGTTCCCCAGGAAATGTCTGCACTTCCTTTTTGATAACCCACGCCACTTACCCGATGTCACCCCAGGGCTGAAGGGATTTTCCCAGAGCAAGTAAACGAGGTGCTGTACCAAGAAAGACAGTCTCTGGTAATTTTCTTTTGCTATTTTAGGAGACAGCCGCACGTGCAGACAGGAATTACCTGTCAGCTTTCAGATAGGAAGCCCTGCTGCGCTTCCTCGATGAACCCCCCTGAAGAAGCTCCTCAAGGCTGCAAAGTTTAAGCAAAGGAAAGACCAGGCTCAAGAACTGAGCAAGGGGCTTCCCTGGTGGTGCAGTGGTTGAGGGTCCGCCTGCCCACGCAGGGGACACGGGTTCGTGCCCCGGTCCGGGAAGATCCCACGTGCCGTGGAGCGGCTGGGCCCGTGAGCCATGGCCGCTGAGCCTGCGCGTCCGGAGCCTGTGCTCCGCAACGGGAGAGGCCACAACAGTGAGAGGCCCGCGTACCAAAAAAAAAAAAAAGAACTAAGCAAGGACCCAGTACAAGGTGGCGTGCTTCTCTGCCTTGACCTTGGGGACAGTCAGGACCACCCAGGTGGTGCATTTGAGGGGCAAAAGGATGGTCAAGAAACCCAGTCGTGGTTAAATCTTTCCAGCTCAGAGACATAAAACTTTGGAGTGAAAATCTCTAAGTTCAGAGCACAGTTCTGACTATTGAGGGCCCAGATTTTAAGTGACTACAGAACTGCCAGAAATATTCCTTTCTCCGATGAAATCCAGAGTTTGAAATAACAGCATCTATATCAGCACACACACACAGAATTAAATTGGAATCCATCTCTACAATTCCTACTAGAAAGAAAGAATTTAAAGAGACTTTTCAAAATCATCATTAGGGAGACATCCCTAACTGCAACAGTAACAGGACAATAACAGAACAGCAACCCATACCAGAGGGTGCTGGTGCCGTGAGAGGACTTCATGATAATTATCAGTCATGGCTACGATATTAATCAACAGGCCACAGAATAACAGTCATCAAAATGCTGTCAGTCGGGCTCAAAATCTGCCTGCCTCCTGATCTCCTAGCAAACAGCTGGGTCCTCTCCCAAACTGGATTCAGTAAGGCACAAAGAGGGCGACACAGTGTACCTCAAAAGGTCTTGTTGCCAACCAGAGTAGCGACAGCCCAGGGCCATGGCTTCATCTATCCTCCTCCAGAAAGAAGTTTGTACCAAGTCTGTTCCTAATATGTTACGCTTCTAGATTCATCACGGACGCTAATCACCCTAATATGCATCTCCTCTATTCTTGTACTTGTGAGCAGCGTGCACTTCCTCCCTTCCCATTCACTCCTCAACGAAATGTGTGATCAAAGATCTGTGGCAAGGACGATGCAGGGGACGTGGGTTCGTGCCCCGGTCTGGGAAGATCCCACATGACGAGGAGCGGCTGGGCCCGTGAGCCATGGCCGCTGGGCCTGCGCGTCCGGAGCCTGTGCTCCGCAACGGGAGAGGCCACAACAGTGAGAGGCCCGCGTACAGCAAACGAAAACAAAAACAAAACAAAACAAAAAAAAGATCTGTGGCAAGGAAATGCATCTTAATTTCAAAAATAAAAGTATATGAAAAACACTCAACATCATTAGCCATTAGGGAAACCCAAATCAGAAGCACAATGAAATACCAATTCCCATCCATTAGGATGACTATAGTCAAACAAGACAGATAAGAGCAAGTGTTGGTGAGGATGCAGAGAAATGAGAACCCTATATATCCTGTGGGTGGGACTGTACAATGGTGCAGCCGGTGTGGACAACCGTCTGGCGCTTCCTCAAATGATTAAACAGACAGTTATCATAAGACCCAGCTAACTCCACTCCTAGGAATTCTCCCGAAAGAAATAAAAGCATGTGTCCACACAAAAACTTATACAACGTTCACAGCAACATTATTCATAATAGACAAAAAATGAAACAACCCAAATGGTCATCAACTGACAAGTGGATGACCAAAATGGGGCAAACCCATACAACGGAGTTCTATTCGTCAATAAAGAGAAATGAAGCACTGATACATGTTACAACATGGACGATCCCTGGAAGCACCATACTAAGTGAAAAAAGGCAAAAAGGCAGTCACAAAACACAACACATTGTATGATTCCACTGATATGAAATGTCTCGAATAGGCACATCTCTAGAAGTAGAACTTACAAGAGTAGTTTCTTAGGGCTTGAGAGGATGGGGGATCTGGGAGGTGACAACTAAGGCCTAGCCAGGTTTATTCTGGGTGGTAATGAAAATGTTCTAAAATGGACTGTGGTGATGGACGCACAATTCTGTGGATATTCTAAAAAAAAAAAAAACCAACACTGAATTATATACTTTAAATGGGAGAATTGGATGATACGTGAAACATATCTCAATAAAGCTGTTA